CCACTATACCGGATGGGCGGCTCTCACTTCTCTACATAATCATTTCTTCTATCGCGAGATGTGATCGATAGAGCTGTGTATCGGCTTTTATCACATATGTTTCTCGACTTTGGAATCCATTCTCTAAGCTGTTTTTAACTTACACGCTATGTGATACAAATTTGAAATGTCCTATGTATATATTTTCATAATAAGTTAATAGTCGTAAATATTTACAATCCCTCAAAATTTACCTACAATAATGTATAAGACGATATTTTTCTCTCATCATGATTCCTCAAATATAATCTGAGATGTTTAAAATTTATCCGTGGACCTTTGAAAAAATATTTAAAAAAATTGCGAATTATTACATAGCATCAGAACAGATTTTTGCATTATTAAAATTCTATAAAATTATCTTACAGTAAAGAAAAAACACATGCGTGTGAAAAAATTTCCCTCAAATAATACCAGCTCAAGTTCATTCAGTAGTTAGTATTAAGTTTTAGATCTGCACAATAATAATACCCCATTATAATTTGTTTTAAGATTTATCACTCAAAATCACGTGCAACCATTTTCATCAAATCAATATATCCTATCGACATAATGAGGTTTAGGTAGGGAATCATCGTTCTGGATTACTAAGCCATAACCATTTATTAATAACTCAATTCCGAATATTCGTAACCTATATAATGTGTGAGGCCTGTTATCGAGTAAGTAACGATGAGCTTGATTTATGTTCAAAATTGATACACTAAGAGGAATATTGCATGGTCAGTAGTCTGAATGTCCGGCTAGATCACTCATTCAAAATAAACACAATTGAAACTAATAATACATTAGCTCTAATGGGATTCTGTCGATAGATGTTTCTAGGGCAGGGATGGTAAACGAATGGCACGCGACACAGTATTTTGGGCACGCCACCGTTCAAAACGGTTTGCATTTTAATTCAAAATAACAAAGCTCACTATGAAGTAGTACGAACAAACGCGAGTGATCAGTCAAAGTTTTCAGCGAGATTTTCTCAGTTCAAAGAATCGTAGGAAACTCTCAAGTTTTTCATGCCCCTTTATGTGACTTCATTTAATTAACTGAACTTGTCCCAATTCGATTGGTTGGAAATTGAAAAATTTTGAAATGCAACTGATTGATTTTCAGTCTATTTCAGTATGGATTCAAAAATTTGTTGAAAAAAGAAGAAAGTTGGAATGGATTGAAACAGAAATATTAACAAGCAATACAGATAAAAATGCTCGTCATGAAATTTTGGAAACATGGAATTCGATTCCAGGCACATTTAACAGTTTGAAGAAGCTAGACCATGCTATTTTAACCATATTTTCATCTACCTACGACTGTGAGTGATTATTTTCAGAGATGAATAACATTGAAAACTCGCTTAGAAGCCGTTTGGCAGATGACTCCAATTCAGCATGCATTCTGCTAAAAGTAACTTCTTACAAGAAGCCTTTTCCATGCCATCCTTCTTCCTGCTAGTGTCCTCCAAAGTTAAGTTCTCAAAACTAGAAGATATTTTTCTAGGCCGTCAATCCATCTTAATTTGGCCTACCTTTTCTCTGTGAGTCAATTAGTTAGGCATTGAAGTTTTTTTGCTGGGACGGTCTTCGTCCATTCTGACAACGTGGCTACCTGCCCATTTAATTCGCTGTATTTTGATGAAGTTAACGATGCCAGGTTCTTTAAATGAGTGATAGAGCTCCAAATTTGACCTTCACCTCGTTCCATTTTCTTGTATTCCTCCAAAAATAAATCTTAAAACCTTCCTTTCGTAGATACGTATCATGTTATCATCTGTCCGAGATATGGACCAAGTTTTCCATGCATAAAATAATACTGATCTTAAAAGACAATAGAACCTTTGTTTTTCTTTTGATTAAACTCGATTTCATATATTTTCGTATTAAATTAAGAATTCTATTAGTCATAGTAGCTCTATTTTGGATTTTAGTAGTACAGTCGTTCCTATTGTTAATTTCAGAACCTAAACAAATGAAACTGTCAACAGTTTCAAAATTATATTCTCCAATTTTAAAGTGGGAATAGTAAAAACATGATTTAGCGCAAGACTTGTATTTGGTCTTATTCTCATTAATTCTCAGTCCCATCCTGAGGGCCTCTTTCTCTAAAGCTGAGATGACTTATCTTAGTGCGGTAGGTGTTCGAGCAAAATAATCAATGTCATCAGCAAAAACCAACATTTTCTCTTTTTAGATATTTTTTTTTAATATTACGTGTCATTCATTCCAAAATTACTATGTATTTCTAATCAAATTCATTCCATGCTTGAAAGTTTCTCCATAATAATCCTTCTATTTATATTCGGAAAGCTTAGGAGCAGTGACATACACAAGGGTGGAGCTTGGGGATTCAAATACTTCCCATTCACTAAGAGATTTTAATTTTTAGCATAAGAATTATGCTTCAGCATTTTCAACGACGTGTTTTTTTAATATAAGTCCCTCCCATAAAAGTAGTCTATGTGCGTGACTTCTCAGAGGATTAGAATTTATACGTATCCCATATTTGCGAACAATTCTATTGAATTTGAATTCCACCTTTTGGTTCATATTTATATGAACCAAGAAAATTTTTTAGTTGTTTATGTAAATTAAATTTTTTTTGAAGCAAAGTTATAGTAATGAAACAATTATTCTAAATTTGGCGCGGAATAATTCTCGTTTCAGATAAAAAGAAATGCCCAACTGTAAATCAATGTTCTTAAAACAGTAAAATTTTCTTTCTTAAAATAATTGCTATGGGAATTATCCATACTTCTTCATCCTCATACGCTTTGAAAATTTTTCATAATGCAGGAAAAACAGTTGTAAATATTTACTAAAATATATCATACAAGGTGGGACACAAAAAAATCAGACTAAGTTTGTAGCTTGAAAAAAGAGGGGAGTTGGTAACAACTGTTTTGATGACGTCATCCCACTTAAATCCTTTATTCATGTGGCCAGTTTCGCCTTAATCTATCCCACCAGTTGGGAGAATGCGTCATTGAGTGAACACGTGCAACTGCATTCTGCTGAAAAATAGTCGAATTGACGTCAAGTTTCTTGTGAAGAAATCAGCCACGAAAACATTTCAAATATTAACCGAGGCTTATGGGGAGGAAACTTTGTCTCGTGCACATGTGTTTGAATGGCATAAGAGATTTCCAGGAAGAAGGGTCAGTGTAGAAGAGGATGAACCTGCTGGGCACCCAAGATCAGCGATTATAGACCAAAACATCGCCAAAATGCATGATATGAGAGAGTCCCCGTTCACATCAGTGGCGTACTGTTAATCAACACACTACTTCATTGAAATACTAAAAGGACTTCGTAAAAAAAGAGCAGAATTGGGAAGTAATGGATGGCTGTTGCACCAAGAAAATGCATCCGCTCACAATGCCCTACTGTCAAGCAATTTTTGACCAGCAAAAACATTACAATAATGGGGCCACCTTATTCACCTGATTTGGCACCATATATGCAACTTTTTTTCTATTTCCTACAGTTAATTCTTGCTGAAAGGAAACCATTTCAACACTGTTGAAGAGATTCAGGTAAAAATGGAAAATCTCCTAAAGGAACTTCCAAAAATCTCGTTCCAGAATTGTTACCAGCAATGTCAGCACCGGATGCAGAAGTGTGTGAATGCTGAAGGGAACTACTTTGAAGGTGATACTGTCACGGAGAACTGATTCTGTAAGTACAATAGTTTATTGTACCAGTCTCGTTTATTTTGTGTCACTCGTAGTATTTTTTGGAGGCTAGAACGAACATATTAGCTGATCATTTAACGATTGATTTCATTTGATTTTTTTCCATAATTGCGATATTTTGAAGCTACATGAGTTTCTATAGGCTACGGACCTTATAATTTTGAGCCTTGATCAGTCACCAGGAGATACATATAATTTAACCAAAGAATATTTGGAATATTTTTAACAGGGACATGTTTGCAGTGCGAATAACAATGATGGTGAAATGCATAGCATACATATTTTTAATTAGTTACTTGATTCAATTTGTTTACTTTACAAAGCACAAATATACATTTTTTTTATAATTTTAGAATATTATTCTTGAGGATTAATTTTAAAAATCTCTCTTTACAATATTTTCGAATTTTTAGAATCTCATTTTCCTATTTTTTATAGCACTTTTCAGAGTTTTAATACACATATCTTGGTTGAATGAAACCAAGGAATAACTCAGTTATTTATATGAGTGTGATAAATTTAAATCATCTTGAAAAAGTAAATATTTTTCTTTTTAAGGAGTGCTACTATTCTAAATTTCGATAAATGAACAAAAATGGCCTGTTTAAGTTGTTTTATTCAAACTATTATGTTCAACTCAGTACCTCAAGAATTTATCAGAGGTTCATAAATCAAGTAACGAACAGAAACTTAACAATCTCAATTTTTCGAATGAAAAAAAAGTTCCCATACATTTTGAAAAATTTTTACTGCATTTAAACGCCACAGCTATTTTTTTTTGTCCATAGTTGTTGTTTTTTTAAAAAATAACAAGCAAAAAAGCGGAAATACTGGAAACGATGTGGTAATAAAATATTAACAAGGAAATCAAAAAGCAAGAAATGTGAACTGGCTTGTTGAAAAGTTTTCTTACACTGAAATAATTTTACCATCTGTTTTCTGGTCCAGCTAGAATAAATTACTTTTATATCATGCAATTAAAGGAAGTTATTTATCTTGCGGTAAACACAATCTTTATAGTTAATTAACATAAAAAACAAGTAATATAAAAAAATAAGTCAATTCCTGCTTAGGTCAACAACAAAATTTTATTTTAGTTACTTTCATTAAATAATTATAATTAATATAAATATGTAAAAACATATGACAGAATCACAATATTAAGTAGCAAAATATAAAGCGATTTTCCTTTCTATATATAGTGTTGGACTGATATTTTTGTTTGTTACTATTTATTCAAAAATAAATCACATTCTCATAAATTCATAAATTGGGCCATCCCAGATAGCCCACGATCGAACCCACGACCTTTGGAAAAGAAATCCAACGCGCTATCCATTGCGCTACAGGGACACAATGAGTGATTTTCTTTTTTATATATGGTATTGAACTATTATTTTTGTTTTTTACTATTTATTCACTAATTAAATTTAATTAATGAATTAATATTTGAAAAAACTGTATTAACATGAAATGATCTACTGCAAGTTTAAAAAGGTTGAAGGGCTAACCTAAGTTCAAGTTCAAAGGGCTAACCTAATAACGGTCACATGATAAATGCAATCACGTGATCTCCCCTGAATTCAAAGCTGACATTAGACTTGTACTTGTTTCAAAATTTAGATAAAATTTCAAATTTGGTTACTGGGTAAATATTTCCAAGTATTAATATTCTTCGCGAAAAGTTTTTCAAAATTAAAAAAAAATCATTATATTATGCATATTCTTTTAAATCAAGTGCATTTTGTGTACCTATGTGAGTTTTTTGTGTTGACAAAAAAAAACTTTTTACAGAAAGTTTTTGCAAAAAGAAAAAGCATTGTTGTTTTCAGATAGTCTGGAAACATACGATTTAAATAGTCATGTGACTATGACGTCATGTGAATTGAGCCTATTTGACTTTTTTTTAACTTTATATTTGAAATATCTTGTTGGTAAAGAAACCTCAAATGCATTAATAGGGTTTTTTTTTTCAATCTTATGATGCATAAATGCATTCATATGCAGTGGCGGCGTGAGACCTGAACTTAATGTGGGCAAAATACATTTTGCGAGGCCCTCTGGTGGTGTAAGAAAAGGGTTCCTAAAATAAAAAAACAAATTTTTATTCATAAAGAAAAACCAAACTTTTTACTCATATTTCTTTAGCACATTAAACAATAATGAAAAAAAAAGAAAGAATTAAAGAAACAAATTTTCTACTTTTATGTTTGCTGAAATCCTTAATGATTGGTTCATAATTTATCTTAGATGCTATATCTGCTTCAATAGATAAAACTACCAAAGCTGAAAGCTTTTCCTGACTCATTGTATTTCTTACAGAATTTTTTTATCAGTTTTAATTTTGAAAAGCTCCGCTCAGCAGAAGCGGTACTTACAGGTATTGTTAACAAAATTCGAAAGACAATGTAAATATTTGGGAAAATTTCTTTCAAATTGTTCTCTATGACATATTGGAGCAGATGTTTCACGTCTGTAATGGTGTTGGGTAAATTTGGGATCATATTTTGTAATTCTTCATATAATTCGTAAGGTTGGGGGGGGGGGTCACTGCTCTCACCTACTTGCAGGACTGTGTGTAAACCTTGAGTTTTTCAGTATTTGCTCTTTTGAGATATTTTTTAACTTGTTTAAGTCTTAGAGAAAACCAAAATTTTCAAAATTTTGCTTTAAAGACATAAATCTTGAACCCATATTGCTTATCACAGAAGCAATTATGGTATTAAAAAAGTCTGTTTCAGACCGGCTTTTGATAGACTCTATAGGTTGATCGCTGTCTTCATAATCAAACATTCTTTTCTTTTTTGGCTACCCTTTTATTTTTAAAATCTTTTGGCAAATCATAACTGCTTTTCTCAATAAACTTACGAGCGTCAGACAAGTATTTTCCGAATCCAGTTTGTCGATACTCTTTGATCCAGCTACAAAATGTACACAAATGTTCAAGGGAATGCATTAAATTTTTTTTGGGGGGAGGGGGCTTATACGGTACCAAAATTTGCTTATGGTATTGACACGCGTTATAACTCATACCATACATGTAATGATACGATAAATTCCAAACTAAACATTTCATTTAAAACAGAATCGCAATCCCTGAGTGTGTCGGATTGTTCCGCTTTGTTTTTAAGTTTTCTATACATTTAACAACATCATCAAATTGTAATAATGCAACCTTCACCGCCTCGATTTTGCTTTCCCACCTTGTGTCTGATAAAGGCTTAATAGTAAGCTTTAATTTATGTTTGATAATTTTCCAGCGTTTGCTGGAACTTAAAAATAGCAATAAAAACAATCTTCTGAATAAAACCAAAAAATGTTTTTGTTGCCATTGACGAATTATCTGCGTCTACCAATAACAGATTCCAGCTACGACAACCGTAAGTTGTGAAAAATGCCCTGGGATTTATATTTAATATTCGAGTCTTAACTCCACTATTTATGCCTACCATATTTGCACCATTGTTGTATCCTTGTCCACGACAGTTCTGAATATCTAAGGCATTTTTTTCTAGCTCTCCCAGTATTGCATTGGTCAAATGTTCTCCAGTCGTTTCAGTGACAGCAAAAAATCCGATCAAGTTTTCTTCTATACTTCCAGCTGATGTACTACAATATCTTAAGATGACCGACATTTGTTAAATTCTACTACAGTCCCTAGTGCAGTCGAGTAAAAAAAGAAAAATATATTTTGCCTCTTTTCTCCCACCAATTACTTACTTCACTGGTAACTGTGTTTGACATGATTGTGATTAATTCGTTGATCATTCGTGGCTTAGGAAATGGTGTGCAAGTTGTTTATTATCAATGCAATTCATGTGTTCCTGTAAAGTAGGATCATATTTAGATATCAATTTAAATAAGTCTATATGAAGTTTCCAGAATTCTTAGTGTCTTTCTCTTTTTGAGAGATTATCTATGTTCTCTAAACGCCAGATTATGATAGGCTAAGAAATTTATGATATAAATTAATCTCTTAAACTAGTTGTACAAATGTTTTTGAGATTCAAGAATTCGCCTTTCCTTTTTCTCGGTCTAATGTATTTCCGTGCTTTATTCCCTTCTCTAATGTTAATCGTTAGAACATATAGGCGGTATGTTCTTTAGCATTCTCATGTCTGTGTAAAATACTACTTAAGTGTTTCCAATCACAGCACCCTTCCTGTACCATTTGAGTTTGTGAATTGCCAAATAGTCTGCTTGGAAAACAGAAAACTTTATTTTTAGAACTTGAATAAACCAACCAGCGACGATGTTGAGTTTCGCCATTATTTCGTTTTCATGAGAAATGAAAATTGGAAAAGTGTCTATGATCATCATCTTTAGGATAATATTCATCACTGTTATTTAACTGCTGTGTGGGACCGCTTTTAACTACATCATGACCGGTGAGCATTTGTCATGGGAAACGTACACAATCCCGGGTCAAAACTGGAAAATGCTTGCTTCACTATGTCACTGGCATCTCTGTTCACAAGCGAAGGACTAATATCAATCTCATCTTCTTGATTGTGACTTATGTTACTTAACGGGAATACAGAAATCCCAACGTCAGATTATGATTGGCAAACTTTTGATCCTATTTCTATTTCCGATTTTCGTCGTTCGGTATCAATAGTCGGAGCACTGGAGTAACTTCCAAATTCAACGGAGACTCGGATACGGATAAATGCTGTTGAGAAGTCGAAGGAACCGATTAATTTGATTCTGTACTGCCAGATTCAGTCTGACTGAGAAATTTTATCATACCTGAACTTTAAACCTGGTTGGATACATTTCTTTCCGCTTTTCTGTTTCTTTTTGCTGCACCAGATTCCCATTTTCTCCCTTTCTCTATCTCCCTTAGTGCCTAGGCCTGACATGATTGATAAATTGTGAAAAATGCCCAGTACCACTATTATTTGTTCTCACATTAAATACTTTTAAAATTTATAATATGAAATAGAAACATGAAGCAAGACTGTGTCTGCATGCGATGCTTCAATTGGCTTTCTAATGATGGTAAGTCCCGAGCTATGCCCCGTCTCTGATCGGGGACTCTCCGCGTGATAGCAGCTTAACTCCAGCTAATGTTGCCAGACTAAATATGAACGAATGAGCGGAAACGACAAAGTTGAAAAATCTTTAATAAAAGAAAATGGAAAACATTATTTTCACGAGTTATTTATTCATATGCTTCCATGCATCGATAAGTAGAATATATATTTTTTAAAAAGTCGACATCTTATGGGGGGGGGGGAAGAGATAGAGTTGAGAATTTTTTAATTTATTAATTATAAAAAAACCCTGTGACGTGCACTTCTGGATTTCCCTTGCTTTTCATTAAATTTATTTCGTCTTTGAGGCGCGAGGCCCTATGCACCGCGAGGCCGTGGGCAGTGGCCCACGCCTTGCGCCGCCTCTGTTCATATGTAATAACAATTTGCAATTAATGACACCGAATGGAACCAGATGTTACGAGTTCGTTTTTCATATGCAACTGTTTACGCCTTTGCGAACTAATTCTTTTAAAGCATTTACGGAATTTTTTTTCAAAAAGCATTTCCTTTAACAAAGGTTTGTCACTAAAGATGCCCCGTATAGAAAGGCTAATGTACTTTAAATCTATTGAATCTCAAAGTTTTCATGTTGGCTTGGTGTGTATGCTTGAAAAGTGGGGCTCAGATATCGTCTTGTAAAATTTGGGGAAATTGATGGGTAGCGTGAGGCTTAAGAATTTTAATTATTTATTATGTCTACAGCTATTACGTTTAACGGGGAAAATTTTTAAGGCGAAATATCGGTAAGCACGAAATAATGCAACCAACCCGCCAAGCTACTAGGGATTTTCATGCATTTTCTTTCTCTTAACGCGAAACGAAAATCGTTTAACATGAAAAGATTATTCTTCTGGGAATTTACAAAATACGGAAAACACCAGACGCGAAAACTAAATTAAATTTAAAACTGGTATGATACGAAAAAGAGATGGTTTTAATGTTTCGTGGAAAGAAGGCTAACTTTGTGACGGATCTATACGCGGCTCTACTAACCCCTTGGGTATTCATATGGGGAAACAATATTATCAACCAACTTCCACCGAGTAAGGAAAGCGTGATTAGGCAAATTAAGTTTATTATAAAAATTCTGTATTCTCGCGAGTTTTGAGAGTTAGTGAATTGAGAAGCTAAGATTATATTAAAGTGAGAATTGAAGATTTCCAAAGTGAGGATCGCTCGGATGCGAGGTGATCAAGACAACCTTTAGTGTTCAAGGCCTCAGGTATATGAATGACTTTGAAATATGTATCTTCGCTTTAACTTGACTTTGAAATATCTTCGAAATTGGCTGTGGCACGAGCCAATTTTGTTTAT